ATCCCAGCACCCACTTTCTTGATGTCCTCGTGCTCGTAGATGCTCGGCGCGAGGGCCGAGGACAGGCGCTCGTAGACGTCCGGCTTGGCTGCCAGCTCCTTCAGGGTCTGCACGCGGTCCTCGGTGAAGAGTTTCTGCTCGGCCTCCTCGTCCAAGCCGTGCAGACGCTTCTCGTCCGTCTTGCGGAAGTGGATGGCGTCGATGTGGGTCTTGTAGACGGACTTCACGTTGCTCTGGCGCGGGTTGACGCGCATCGGAACGGCTCTGTAGATACCTGGACGAGGAACGGAGTTGGGATAGTCACAGCAAACAAATCAAAGATATATAGGAGATATGTCAGATAAAGTGTTGCATAAATGAAAAGAGATTTATTACCGGTGATGTTCACTCGGTCTCCTGGCTGCACTTTATCTACCAGATCATTATGAGCGTACACGATGGTGGTGTGGGGCGTCTGGCCGGCTGGCATGTCTTCAGGGGACTCTTGAACCTTGATCTGTTGCACAGAAACATCAATACACGAACAGATGTCATGACCTCGGCCGCAACACCTCGCTAATTACCACCCGACACGTCCTGTGATCAGGCGGCGGCGGCGGCGAGCGATCTGCGACCYCGACCGAACTCTCACCATCTGCTTGTCGGAGAAAAGCGAGCGGTTGTGAACGAGCGCCAGGCCGTGGGCGGTGTTGCAGTGGCGACACACGGCCGGCTCGGCGATGCGGCCGCGATCCACCTCCACGCGGGTGCTGAAGGCGCACACCTGGCACTGGAAGAACGCCTCCTGCATCTCGGGGATGAGCTGCGAGGTGCGGATCACCATGCCGCTGATGGTGATCAGCTGATCGATGTCTGCGGAGGCGACACGCGTTAAGTGTTCACAGTGTTCATCTGGTGACACGGGCCTGGATTTACGAACACACACACACACACACACACACACACACCTTCTGGGTTCAGGCTCCTCATGTTTCTGGTTTTCAGGGCATTGTAGGGGCGGACTTGGATCTGGTACTCCAGCACAGAGTCAGGGAAGCGCTCAAAGAAAAGCTCATTGACTGCCATGTCAAAGGTTGGAATAACTTCCTGCACAAAAAATAAAATAAAAAAAGGCTTTTGATTTACACCAACAGATTTTTAAACTAAAGAAAAACATGTTCTTTCAAACTACAATGACATTGTTTTAACAGGTAACATACCTATTAGGCAAAACTTTACATTTCCATTTTGTATAATTTTCATGTTTTTTGTATAAATCAACCCTTTATACCCACCTGTGGTTTAATAAATGGTAAAAGAGCTTTCTTATTTAGTTGAAAAGATATACATTTTTACATTGATTTCCTGAAAAGTTGCATTTTTGGAGATACATGCTTGTAAATTCACAGTGAAGGCTTAACTCAACCTTCAGCTTTTGTGTTGAATTCTCCTCAGTGTTTAATTATGTCCTACCAGATACAAGTTCTGCATTAAACCAATATAAAGTGACGTGCAAGTTATGGTATGAACTGGTGACTGAGTCTAAAAAGGCAGAAACACTTTCATAATAAGCAAAGATCATTTGACTTTTAAATTGGAATCACAAAGAATAATTAGCACCAAACGCCTTCTGCCAGGATAAGAATCGAAATGACGTCGCCTGTTCTAGAAAGATTCATTTGTTACAAGCTGAAGGATGTTACCTGTGGGTAGCAGACGAGCTGCCTGTACAGTTCTGTGTCGAAGGACTGCACGTGCTGACAGTTCACGTTCAGAACGGGATCGCCCACAACGCTGATCTGAGAAAAGACGAGGGGGAAAAAAAAAAGAATGCAACAGTGATCAAAAAGGAGGGGAAAAAGAATCAAAACATTTGTAAACCTGCAGGTAAAGTTCTGCTCATGATAGACYGACAGGTACCTCTTCCAGTTTCTGCATGTACAAAGGCTCGTTTAGGTCCAAACCAGCGTTCTCGTCTTCTGTGGATGTTGGGTCAATGAACCTCTGCAGAAACCTCTGGAAGCACAGGAGCAGAAGCGTTGAAACAAATTACAGATTTAATAAAAGTAAATATCAAAACGGAGCTTGGTCGTACCTGGAACTTCTCCTTACAGGTCCCTACGTTGACGTCAGTCCCCCAGATCACCAGTCTCTGAGCGGCGGTCGGCTCGCTGGCCGCGGCGCCCTCTGTGCTCGGCTGAAAGAAAAAAAAAAAAAAAAAGAGGCAAACATTTAACTTCAGCGCGTTTCGCTTTTAATGCAAACACAAGAAACAGCTCCTTTACTGACCGCCTCGGARTGAAGATCAACTTGAGGAGCCTTCCTAACCGATCCCAGGTCGGGTCGCTGGCGGGCTGGGGTGCCACGTACGCTGCTGCGAGGGGTCCCTTCAACCCTGGAGCTGGGGGTTCCGTACATCAGAGGGGAACTCATGTCCACTTCATTTGGCAGAACTGCATCAGTCAAACGACAAAGATTAACATTCTGATTTGTTTTAATATAGATTAACTGAAGCCTTGAGGTACCTGAAGGTCGTGGGCTGGAGAACAGAGAAGTGTCCTGGGGGGCTGCAGGGCTGAGCATGTCCGTGGCCGGAGAGGTGGGCATCGGCATCAGGTCGCCRGTGGATGAGTCCTGACCTCTGCGCCGCTGAGAAGGAGGCGAGGTGGGGTCCTGGCTGCTCGCTGAGGACACACAGTACACGGAGCTGATCAAAGAGCGCTGCGGACACCCACAACATGAAACCTCAGGAGATTTCCACACGACAGCAAAAAGACATTTAACCTACGTGTGGAGGGGTTGGTGTTCCTTCCACGTTTTCGGCCTCTGGGAGTTGAAGCAGGCGAAGACATTGTTGCTGTTATCTGCGTGTAAAAAAAGAGTTTATGCACACTTTATTTCTGGTTTCTCATTTGAGTTAGACAGTTAAATGTACAACTTGTTCAGGGCATTAGTTTTCAATTCAACTTCCTTCCCATTCTAAGCTGCAACTACAAACATATTTTATTTAACTAAGCATAAAACATAATAAACTGTAGCCTGCAGTTTTATTTCAGTTTGGTAGCTGTCAATAATCTAAATATTATGGTAAGAAAAGAAAAATCAAACATTTCACTTATTTTATGCCTGTAAGCGTCATGAGCATTGTTAAAACAAGCTTATTTACAAAAATAAAGTTAAATTAATCCAGCCTGTTGAGCTTTTTGCTCCTTTAATATAAACTTAAAGCCACATAAGTATCTTAAATCTGCTCCAATCAACCCTACTACTGCCACCATTCGACATGTGGCTGCAGAGGGACAATAAAGCAACTTGGTTGGAGATTTTACTTGATTTCAGAGTTAAAAAGTTACTTGATCTATAACAAAACACCTTCTTTTATATTCAGATGAGCCCGCCAAACGATCCTCGCGACGATAAAGCAACGAGTATTAAAGGTTTAATGATGCAAAAMCGAAAGAAATACTGTATATCCTCACCTCTTTTCTTGTGTCCGTCAGAGTGATGCAGTATGTGGCGCGAAACTGCGGATGACGTTGTTTTCGCGGGGAAGTTTGAGCCAATCAGAAGCTAAAGATTGTCCTTTCCTTCCGCCCGACTCTTTCACTTCAGAGGGGAGACTTGCAGAGAGTTGTACGATTTTAACTTCAAATAAATCGACCAAAAGTGTTTTATTTATTAAAATAAACGAATGTGTTTGTTTTGTGTGAGTTTACTTTGGTAAAAATGATTGCTTCTCTGATGTTAAAGTCTTTTGTTCATCGATGCTTTGGCCTAACTTGGTTTGGTCCAACAACTTCTCTGCTTCCCCCTTGTGATGGAAAAAAAGACTGACTAAAAAAAAGTAATTGTAAACAATATTTAACGTGAAGAACACAACATAAGCTTAACTTAATATAAAATTAATTTCCCCATTTTACTAATTTCTTTGAATCCTTTTTTGATAATTTTTTAAACTTACATTTTTATGACTAAGCTCCCTTCTAATAATGGATCTAAATAAAACGTTTTGTCAACTTTAAATAGACATATGCATCACGAATTTGTATAAATTATTTTAATAAGTCTGTTTCAAAAGAACTGTAAAAGTCTTCAGCATGAATAAATTGTAACTAGTTTTAACTACATAAATGAGCTGCATGTACAAACATGGACCACGAGGTGGCGCACTTTTGTCAAAGGCGATTTTGGGARAGGAAAAGTACTGCAAAACTTCACAAGATGAAAACATGAGAAACATTTCCGAGAAGCGTCAGTCCCTCTGTGATTCAGGAGAGCTTCTCAGACCACAACATCCAATAAGACAATCAAAAACACGCCGTTTTGCCTTAAATGTTTAAAACTTGAACAATTAATGTATGTCAATATGCTTCACAAAGAAAAACAAACAAAAAAAAGTTGTCCATCTAATTTATTGATTTTATAACCTCACAAGTGTTGCATTTAGACACATATTGGAGTGTTTTTGTTAAAAAGTAAATATACTCCATTGAACTTAGCTGTTAAATTTACTTTRCAATGACCAGAGCTGAGAAATGTCAACAATAATTTGATCTAATAACAAATTAAGCAAATCAGAACTATAAATTATCTTTATCAGTAGCAACCTTTTTGTTGTAAAGTTATTATATACAGAWTAATCATTAATATGTGTTAAACATATTTATACTACTGAGTTGTTTATTTTGTTTTACTCATTTTTTACTTGAAACTACTTTAYTTTACTTCACTTGCTTCCTCTGCCATTGCCTTATAAAACGTGTTTGTGTAATTGGTCACAAAATACTCCTGTTCCCGAAAAACAGAGCACATCCTTCAATATGTAAACAACTCTGAACCATTCATACAATGATAGTAAAAAAAAAAAAAAAAAAAAAAAAAAAAAAAAAAAAAGAAGGTGGCATGAGGGAAACGCCCCCTGTCTCTTCACCACGTGACCTGTTTAGACATGACTGGCTCGTGAGAGGGCGGCAGGTATGACGTCAGCGAGCAAGAATACAAAGCACTCCGCGAAAGTTGCGCTCCTCAGAGAAGTGTCAAGTCTGAGAGTTGGCCGTGACAGGAGCYTGACAGTCAAAACCCAGGGACTTAAAAACCCCGAGTTAAAAGTTTAAGAAGAGGCAGAAAGGCGCCTGCGCAGACAGCGAGGCTGCGAGCATCGAAGCTGTCACAGCAAAGCTGCTTTTAAAAGTTTTTTTTCTCTCTTCTCAACCCACGTGGACAAGCCAGCAGGGTTCATGTGTGACATATACAGCCTGGACTCGCACTGTGTGTCTCCACAATGCAACATGAGTTGGGCGATGGAGCCTGCTAACTTCTACGAGAGCGCCAAGCTGGGCGGCCCGCAGCAGGGCTTCTGCAAGCCGGGCAACAGGGTCGAGGGCGCGGGCGAGGACGGCACCATGGTGGAGCTGAGCAACACCCCCGCCATGTACGACGACGAGAGCGCCATCGACTTCAGCCAGTACATCGAGTCCATGACGTCCGTGCCGAACCTGGAGCTGTGCAACGACGAGCTCTTCCTCGACCTSTTCAACACGGTGAAGCAGGAGAAGAGCGACTTGTACGCGCTGCCYGGCGGAGCGCAGCAGCTGCCGGCCGCCTACACCGCGGCGGAGAGGAGGCTGGACGGTCCGCCGGAGAGGGGGGCGTTGAGCGCCTCCATCAAGCAGGAGTCGGACTGGAGCGACAGCGACGTGTCCTCGTCCCTGCCCGCCCAGATCGAGACCTGCGCCCAGACCTCCGTCAGCCTGCCCACGGGACAGCCGACGCCCCCGACCACGCCGGAGCCCGTCTCCTCCGCCAAGTCCTCCCCGCGGAAGGTGACGGGCAGGGAGAAGGGGAAGAAGGCGGTGGACCGGCTCAGCGTCGAGTACCGACAGAGGCGCGAGAGGAATAACATTGCCGTGAGGAAAAGCAGGGACAAAGCCAAGAGGCGCAACATGGAGATGCAGCAGAAGCTGATCGAACTGAGCGTCGACAACGAGAAGCTCCACAAAACCATCGAGCAGCTAACCAGGGAGCTGACTGGYCTGAGGGACTTCTTCAAACAGGTCCCCAACTCCTCCTACCCGGTCTCCACAGAGAGCCGGTGACACATTTACTCTTCTATGGACTGAGCTTTTAGAAGATATACCTCAAGAGACACTTTTTTTTTTTTTTTTACCATCTGTACCAGATGTATTAAGCTTACCATAATGGCACTGGAGAATATGTATTTTGTTGCCATATTTTTGTGGGATTTGTCCTCTGTATTAAATTATTTTACCACTGCATTTAAAATGTTTCTACCTGACATGGTACATGTTTTATAATTCTGAACTTTGTATAAGAGCCAGAGCATGATCTTTTATATAGTTTGTATGAAACCTTGAAAACGTTGTTTTTGTTATGAATCTATAATAAAGTCAATGAGAAAAGTGCAGAAGGTTTGGTCTGTTGTAGTCTGTGCATGAGGGTTTTTTTTTTTTTCTTGGATGGCCTCCCTTCTCCCCTTATAGCCATCCCCTCCACACCATTGTGTTGTAGTCTGTGCATGATTTTTTTTTTTTTTTTGAAGGGAAACGTATTCACACCAGAAGTGCAACAGGAAACAGCCAGCCGAGTCAGCAAAAAATAATCCTTTATTGACAGTGTCAGTAATCTTGAACAAGCTTTTTCTTATTTCTTTTATGTCAAAACTTGTGCTTTCAGAGTCCAGATATGATCCACGTGGGTGGAATTTGACAGAACCACCGGGCCTACCCATGGGCTGTCATCTCCTGGTGCACAGGATCCCATATCATTTAACACAAACAAACCTTGTCTTCTCGTAGCCCCGCTCTGTTCAGCACAGCCTCAAGCTGTCAGAGAGGCCTTCAGAAAGGTGGGGGGTGGGGAGTTCAGGATAAACTGGAGCGGATCAAGGCCCGGCATGCAGATCTCTGGAGCCAGCCAAAGTCTGAGGATTGCTATCAGCAGCCTCSGAGGCAGATTTCTTCCAGGCCCATCCAGAAGGCAGGCTTCCTGGTGACGACTCGGACGTAAACGGGGATGGGACCCACCTCTCTTCCCAGAACACTCTCCACATCATAACCTTGGAGCTAAAAAAAATAAAATAAAAGCAAGAGGTTTTAAGTTAGATCCTAATTACAAACAACCCTACAGCACTTTTTGCATTTAAGACCCAAACCTTTGCACTCCACACTGATCAACAGTGATTAGGAATAACCCTGCACTCATGCAAAAGCATTAATGCTTACAATGCAACTACAAAGCTCCGTTACTTTCAGTGCACGTAGGAAATTAAGAACACATCAGCTTAAAATCTGCAATCACTGAGTGCAGGAGAGACGAAGGATTATGTCACCAATCTGTCAGCCAACAGTATCAATGATCAATGATTCTTTTAGACTTTATCCCAGACACATGCAGAGATGACTATGTTCAGAACACATTGAATCAAATCTCTGCACCTTCCAGCTGAGCTCACTTATGTAACCGCTAGATAAGTGGACCTACCTCATCACCTTCCAGAGAGCTGGCGTTCAGCAGGGACAAGATCGTTTTTTGCTGCAGCTGTCAAGAGAGACGATAATTATTAGAAGGCATTAATGTCTTCTTAATTACCACCCTTGTGTAAACAACAAACAAATAAACAAATAAATAAAAATGCTGTGCTAACAGACGGTGCTTTGTGAATTACAGCTGGAAGTGGGTTAAAATATGAGYAGGCCGATAAGGACACTGATAACCTTTAGCTGCTTGGCTCACCTCGACTACTGATTACAGCCGTGCCAGGGTTACTGTCGTTAAATCCACCTGCATGGAGGTGAGCGTTTATCAAGCCTTCAAACTTTTACGCTGCAGAATATAAACTATCTTTATGAGTCCCGTTTATGGAGAGGTACAGAGAAAATATGAAAAGATTCAGTGTAAAAACTCATGGATCACACCAAAGGGCATTTGCTTGTTTTGGGAAAAAAAAGGTTTAAAGCCTTCTTTTAACGGCAGCTAATTTACTTACAGCAATAATGTTGTTTTTTTTTAAATTATTATACAAATTATTTTGTGCATTTCTGGTACTCATAAGGATTGCAACCATTGTATCATATTTTTTTAGTAATGTGACAAGTTCACAGATTTTTGGCAATAAACTGGAAATGAGTAGAACAGGYAGCCAACTCCCAATTTAATAGAAAAGAAACACACTTCTCCCACCACCTTTCATGCCAAAGTTTTAAACTATATCACCTTACAAGTCAGGTGATAAAAATCCACCAGAATCTGTGCAGCTGACTGATCCAATACATTTCGTAAATAAACCCATCTAAAAACATTCTAAAATAGGTTTCACAAAAATCTAAGTGACTAAAGGTGTTAAACAAGAAAGCAAGTTATTTGGTTTAGTGGTTTAGTGACATCAAACTCTGTATGGTCTACCAAAAAGTACCTAAAGTTACTTTCTTACTACAGTCATTAAAAAAAATAGAATTGAAAAAAAAAAAAATCAGTTCTTCGTTGAGGTTGAATGGAATAAAGCTTTTTTTTTTTTTTTCCACAGAAGCCACAGAGGGTTAWCACAGATGTTACAAAAGACATTAGAGAAAACTGGGTTAGTGGCACCTGTTTTACCAACAAACTCGTGTTAAATGACTAGAAAAACAGCTTTACTGAGGGAGGCTGCCATCACTGGTTATACCCTCGCACACAAAAACCTGTAAAACAGACGTTTTTTTGTTTTGTTTTCAACAATCAGTTTTTTATGAAATGAACAAAAAAAAAAAAAAACATAAATCGAGTTAAACCACGCTTGGTTCAACTTTTGTTTTGGACAGAGTGTCCAGTTTCCTGACTTTATATGAAGCAAAGCTAACCAGCTGCTCCTCCTAACCTCATTTCTCCTGCTCAGACACGACGGTTTCTCAGAATATTTAACGTCTCTTTTTAAAACACGGAGTCAAACTGCTCCGCTTGGCTCGTAACGTTTCTCACCTTCACCTTCAAGGTGCAGCCGCTTAACGTGGAGGAGGTCAGGAACACCTCCAGCTGAACCTTTGTGTCCGGTTTGTCCAACACTGATTTACAAGAGATGCAGTGGAAGTTCTGACTGTGGGGAGACACGAGAACGAATATAAAAAAGGACCCTGTTGAGTTGGTACGACTTGCTGGACTTTGACGAACAAGAACTCACGGTGCTTCTTTTGACAACTCCAGGTTGTCACTTCCACAGAGATTGCAGGCAGGCCAGGAGTATGCTGTATTCTCATCCACACCAACTATCACCCCTGAGGAGCAGAACTAAAATTATTCACAGCAATAACAACATAAAAAAAAATAAAGGGATCCCTGATTAGTTGTAACATTAGACTATATTTGATAAACATATATTTTAACTGTAAAATAAAGACTGTAAAAATACTGTAGGATGTTCAGTTTTTATCATTTTTAAACTCAAAGTTTAAAAATATATTACACAGATGGGGCCATTTTATTTACACACAAAGCATTCTGGGTAAATGATGACGTGGATAGGTCCTCGGTGTGAGCGAGCTATATCCACCCTGAAGGTTAATCTTGGACAATATCTGAAGATCGGCTCTTTTAAATGAAACCAGAGAGCGTTGACAGAGAGGAGAAGGTAGAAATGACTCAGCCTTAGGGTTGGGCATAATCGTATTGTGTGCAGTTAATCGTCAGAAAAACATTAATCGATTATTTTTTGGCACTTGACAATTAATACGATTAATGCCACCAGGCAGAGTCCACTCGGTGCTCCTCTCCGCTTCAAATATGACAATCATTWAAAAAAGTTCTGTAATTTATCTATCAACACAATTTAAAATTTGATGTATAGCCTGAAGTCTGTAATTTTCACACAATTTGGAACAGATTTTTACAAAGAGCAAATCTTTCCCACTAAATTGGTCACGTGACCAGGACATAAGGGTGTCCAGGGACTCCAGGGATCAATTGTCAAATTAATCGTTATCGGCTAAATACCACAATTAATCATGATTAATTTTTTTGCCAATACTGCCCAACCCTACTCAGCCTGCAACTGAAAATATGGATGGAGGACAACAGAGCTGCTTCATGGAAGAAGAACTCCAGCTTAGCCTGTTAGCTTTAGCGTTAGCCCCGATGCTATCACCATATATATGTATTAGCTCGGTGCTACACATTCTCCTCTCGTCACTGAGGTCCTCCATTCACATGACAGAGAGGGGAACACGAAAATGACTCAGCCTGCAACTGAAAATATAGATGGAGGACCTCAGTTTAGCTTTTTGTCGCGCTAGCACTGAGCTAATACATATAAGGCAATATAGGGTCTGTGCTAGCGCAAAGGCTAACAGGCTAAGCTGAGGTTCTTCTTCCATGAAGCAGCTCTGTTGTCCTCTATCCATATTTTCAGTTACAGACTGAGTCATTTCTACCTTCTCCTCTCTGTCAACGCTCTCTGGTTTCGTTTAAAAGAGTCAATCATCAGATATTGTCCAAGATTAACCTTCAGGGTGGATATAGCTCGCTCATGTCATCATTTACCCAGAATGCTTTGTATGTAAATAAAATGGCCCCGTCCGTGTCAAAATATATCTTAAAAAATTTACAAAACTAAACAGCCTACAGTATTTTTTACAGTCTTTATTTTACAGTAAAATATTTATGTTTATCAAATAAAGTCTAATGTTACAACTAATCAGGGATCCCTTTAAGAAACACGCCAGAGGAAAAAGAATATTTGCATTTATTTTTACAAGCAAAACAAGAGGACCCGATAAATGATCTACACGTTGGTTTTGACGTGTTTGTACGTTTGTGACAAGGAGTCAGAGATAAACACATCCCTTTCATATCTATTAGAGATCACAATGATAAAAGCAGCAGCGATGCACTCCCCAACTAAAACCCATCTTGCTCGTCAACCACATTTTGCTGTCTGACGATCGCAAATGCAGGACCTTAAACAGGATACGTAAACGCAAAGCTGATAATAACCTCTTCGACAATGTGGTTTGAGCAGTTTTTTTTTTGTTTGTTTTTTTCTATCGGTAATTTCTAGAAGTTACAAATTATGGACAGGCGCAAACAGCCTGTTTTCTTTTCTTTTTTGTTCTCCCTTCTTTCAGCCACCTGATCAAACATGTAGAGCCAGAGAGGCCAGAGCCGACGGGGTTCATGACGTGATCTTTGCTCTCAAATGTGACATGAGGTTCAGCAGATGCAGATTTTTATCAGTTTCAGGCTTCTAAACCACATTTACATAATTGTAACAAATAATACTTCCTGATGACTCTTAAATGGGATACGACACAAATGATAACTGCGACACGTTAGTAAACATTTTAACTTGGTTTTGAAACTGAAGTTCACTCATGTCTGAGCAGTTGTTATATAAAAAAATGTAAAATTAAATATGCAAATTACTGCTTGAGTTCACATTTTTCGAAGGAATTATGAAAATGTGCCCTCAGACTGCAAGTCTTTGTAACATCCAACCTCAACAGATGTTCAAAGTCTCAAGGGGAGCATGTATGTTCAGTTTACTGCAGAATTACACATAGAGCAGACATAAATCCAAATGTATTTCATGTTTTTGTTTTTTAATTTCATCTCAATGATACACAGTAACAACAAACATCAGACCGCAGTGTCTGGAAGCAACATCAAAGTCTCTTGTGGTGCTGTAAACTAGAGACAACAAAAACGTTTGGCCTGTTCTGCAAGAATCTGGGGGAGACAAATCACCTGGAAAGCCAGTAAACTGAGAAAGAAAAAAAAAAAGCAGAGACAGACCTGTGAGAGTACAGAGGGAGTTGGGTGTGGTCTCCAGACTCAGAGAATCCAGTCTCAAGGGCCGGGGCAGGGTCTCCACCTGGGGCTCAGGCACAGGCTGGGAGAGCGAGTCTCGCCCTGTCGCCGTCTCGGCGGAGCACACCTCAATAACGGACTGCTCCGCACAGAGGAGAACGCCTGGTTGGGAAAATGTTGAAAATAACATTTTTATCACAAGAAGAAAAAATGAACAAATGAGACGGGAAGCATTAGATCCTTTAATTATTCTTCATTTYGCACAAAACCGTCAAGCTCAAAAGTTAAATCAACTTTAAAATCACAAGCTTCTCCTTTCATTTTAGGTCTGTTTCAATACAACTCGTTATTATTTTCTATATTTCCTGTTAATGTGGCTTCATGGACCATACTCATTTTGCTTCTAATGCAAAATTTTGGGGGAAATGAGGAATTGCACAAGACACTACATCTGTTGAGTAACACATCTCTGAAGCTTTCCAACAAAAACAYAGTTTGAAGATGGTTACGGACTCGTAATAAAAAGTAAATAAGGAAATTGGTGACCTGGAACACTTATTTTGAAAACAAGCTGCTAGTCTCCATGAAAGGCAAATTCATTCGTGCTCTGAGGTTTGTTTATGCACCCAGCCTGTACAGCGTGTACGCTACCTTTTCAATTAACGCTGGGTTTGTTCTAGAGCGACAGGAAGCTCGCCAGCTTCCTAAGACAGGTACTCAGMTGGGGTGTGGCTGCGATAAGGTTAGCTGGCAAGCTGCTACAGTGAGCTAAAAACAGACATGTTTTTTKGAACACTTCAGAGATGATGTACGTGATGTTCTCGGGGTTTTATATGTCCTTGTTTATTTAAGTCAAAACAGCTGACTAGAAGAGAAAAACTGGGAGTTATGATAGCCACGTTTACCACACGAGGAAATGTGCTTACATTTTTCTGGTAGGGTTACCGCAAAATGTTCTTATTATTAACCACTGACATGGTCCACTTTTAATATGTTTTATTTTTACATTTCAATTCCAAAACAAACCCGTTATTTAGCATTAAAAATGACATTTGAGAAACTTGTCTAATTTAAACCATGGATTGTGATGCTAAAAAACAATATTTTGCCAGTGTTATAGTTTAAAACATAAATAAAGATATTCTCTGTAAGAATTCCTCCATATTATTTAGCTACAATTGCTTATATTTCTCCTCAATCTACTAAATCTACCAAAGTTCACAATTCTATGAGACCCTGAACTCCTTCCCTGAACTTTCACTGCGACACACTACCATTTTCTCTGATGGCGTCTCTGAACGACATCTGACAGGCAGCGGGGGAATTCAGTGCTTTGAGGACAGAGGAAGTGAGCACACAGGAAGTGTTCACACACACAGCCACTGTTTGCCCGCACGGCCTCTCAGGCTGTTCCTCCTGAAGACTGGGGTCTGTGATCACCAACCACACCTCCCCCTGGCCTACATCAGGACTCTAGAGTAWAAAAAAAAGAAAAAGTTTTGAATAACATAGAAACAGAATGACCTAAAAACTGATGCTCAAAGGAACGCTTACAAAGCAGAAATTAGATGTGTCCAAGAATCAACTGCTTTAACGAGCTCTTTCACTCAAGTGGTTGCACATAATTCTGTTTTACGAGCGCAATCGTACAGAAAAGTGGTGTGAGTGTGAGGCAAAGTCCGTCACTAATCTGAGCAGCTATCGCATCTGGTCAAAGTTTAAAGTTCCCACCAATCAATGACGAGGAGCGGCAGAGCTTTAAACAGGCGGTAAAACAGAGAGATAGGAACGCTGCCGTCGACGTCAGAGCTCGGGCTAATCAGTCTCTTAGTTCAAATAAACTAAACGAGATGAACGAGGAACTCAAGAGGCCTAGTATTTACTCTCTTCTATCATCTAAGGCAGATTTAATCAGTGGGTTTTTTTCTAAAGGCAGAAATACCTGCATTCTCTTGTATACAACAGTTGCAACGAAACTGCAGCGGCAGGTTTTCTGCTGGCTCTGAAAGAGAGAAATTTGCATTTGGAATGAACTTGCTGAAGATAAACCTGTGTGTGTGTGTGTGTGTGTGTTTGTGTGTGTGTGTGTAATGAGAAACTGCTCACCTGCAGTACGTGTCGAAGGCTTTGCTTGGTGGGGGGAAGGTAGTGTGGCGATGTAATCTGCCCCTCGGTGGGTTCGACTGAACTCTGCTGACCCGACAGCAGGTAGCAGAAACTTGGTGCTTGACCCGGACATCTACTTTCCTGCAAAAAAATATTCAAACACTTCAGAGTCTTCTCTAAATACTGCTGACCGTGTAAACGTAACTAATATTAGCCTCGTTTCAAACTTCCAACTTGCTGCTTTAATCATAAGCAGAGTTCGGGATACAGAAAGGCTGGTTTTGTGTTCCTCAATGCATGTTTACAAAAAGCGGAGAATCACCCGTGAACGTTATCTTTTCAAATTTCCTGTAAATAAAAAAATAATGAACATGCTGGTAAAGATAAAGCTAAAAAATACAAGCACAGCAGGATTTGTTGTCATTGATTTCAATAAACAAACAACTAAGTGTCTGAAATGAATTTGATTTTCTACAACATATCAGCAGGACGAATACATCAGCTGTTCACCTCAACTCCTCCTGTTGGAATCAGGTAATGTGAGGGCAACACTGAATTAAAGTGAAACAATATGTCATGTTAGGGTTCATTATGAGGCTAATATAGAAAATATTTAATTGTGGATATAATTATAGTTTAATCAACACAAGTTGTTGAAAGTAATTGTTCTGAATGAACACAATTATCCACCGGAAATGCTCGTTAATTCTTGTTTTTCTTTGCCCTTAGATGTTTCATGGTTGCAAATTTTGGACAGAGGATGTGCAAACAACTGAACTTTATTAGCTGATTAATTTGATTGCTTCAAAATTCAGAGAAGGCTTTTGTGTGACCAGCTGCTCCAAACCTAAAWACAATAGCTTAGAGACATTTAAAACACAGAAATAACTTCTTATAACATGTTTGTTTTTTTCATTAATATAAAAGGAACTCCATYGCAATAATTGATACYGCAGATCCTTCACAACTAAAATATTTATTTATATTTTTAGACACTTTATTTCGATGCTTGGAACATCAGAACTTAGCATATACATTGTTTATAAAATGAACTAGMGGTTTCTAATCCCACTCAAGTTATTACCCATCAGCTCAGGGATTATTTTCACTGTAATGAGAACTTACTTTAGGAATACTGGGTGAATTTCCTAGATCTTTTGGAGGCAGTACTGGGGGCCAGAGGCTGTCTATCAAGCTGAAAAGCCTGGAGTGCCTGCAAATGAAAGACAAAAAAAAAGGGAGAGTGAGGAGGGGCACCAAAGAGGGGGACAGAAGGAGAAACTAAAGAAAAAAAAAGAGACTTTAGTGAGGAGAATAGGAGCTTTCACAGCCGGTTTCATTTCCACTGAAACGTGAATTTGTAAAAGCACAACTTGTTTTTACGTCACATGTAATCAACAAAGAGCATGCTGGGGCTGGCAGAGCACATCCACACAGAAATCGGTTTTCACAAGCTGGTCTAGAAAGGCTGAGGAGCTCACACCCAATGTACACTGTGATTCCTGAGCGATACAAAAACAACAAGGATCAAAATGTGGATTACAAGCGATTCGAAACGTTCTCATTAGCAACTAGTGACACGTCTTCTTTCAACACAGTCTTATTCCCGGTTTAAACACGCCGACGCCTGACAAGACTCTTATTCTGCTGCTTTGACGTCAAACCGATTCTGGGAAAACAGCGTTTTTAAAAATGCGAGGGGGAAAAACAGAAAGCAGCAACTCTGTTCTGATTCATACTTTAAGAAGCGCACGTTAGCTTTAAGGCACTGCTACCTATTCATTCATACGGGTGCTTTCAGGTCACTCAGTGGTTAACAACCTGTTAGTCARCCTCTAATCACAGAGTTTCTTTGTGTGAAACTGGTTTTGCAGCCCAGTCAAGTCCAGTGAGGGCAACTCGTGGATGAGTAAAGACAAGCTAACAGTGTCATTTGTTATTTCAGTCCTCATTCTGTAGACTTTGTGTTTAAGGACTTTTGTCTTAGGCGGTCTAAGGCGCGGCTTTGATTCTCAACCAGCAGTTTTTATTATCTATACAATTTTATTCAAAATGAAACAACTGTTTAAATGTACATTTCTTTTTTTGTTGTTGTTGTTTATTTGGCATACTGCCAGCATTTAGTTGTAGCAATTACTTCCTGTAAACTTCAACCGCAACATACTTTTCGCATATAAGTGACAGGGTGATTATTTTTTATAGCCAACACTCAAAAACATATAATTTTAATTAAGTGCTACTTCTTTTGATCAAACGTTTGTAATCACTGCTGTCCTGATGTAAGAATCTGATCTGCTCCGATGTCAGTCAGTTAAATATGAATACATGCTTTATTTATTAT